AAAAAAAAAAAAAAAAAAAAAAAAAAAAAAAAAAGAAAATCTGTTAAGCAAATAAATATCCATCCAGAATATGAAGCCTGGCTTTTCTTTTACTTTTCATTTATTTTTGCTCCTGGGGTGAGAGTTGGGTGGGAAGAAGGCCACGCCAAGRGCCACACCTTGTGGAGGAACAGAGTGCATTGCAGCTCCTCTTTTGGAGCTCAAAACTGCAAGGGAGGGTGAGGTGTCCTCAAACACAACCATGAAACCTCAGTCCTGTGGCAGATGTCCYCCTGAAACCACCAATCACGTGCCCAGTGGTTCTTGGTGAGATCCGGGGGTGTTTCCCAGCAGCTGTGTGGATTTGCATAGCTTTCACCAGTTTGGGCTGTTCCCAGAGACCTGAAAGATGGGTGGGACCTAAACAAGACATAAAAGACCAAAGAAATCTCCACTGCAGRTGGAGAAAGGATCTCCACCTTCCTTCTGCCTTCCTGGCCATGTTTCAAGACATGGCACAGGTTTCCTTTGATTTAAAATGYGTCCCTATGAAGAGTAAGGATTGATTTCATTGTGCCTTCTGGTTGTCACTCATGGAAATTTTGCTTTGGGGAGATTCCATCCTTTTCTGCTCTTTGCTGTGTGATCCACTGTCATGGGGGTATTTAGAGATGATTAAAAACCAAGCAAAACTTCGGCCAAATCTCTTGCTGCATTCCTCTGGGAGCAAAGCAGCACAGCTGGAAGCACCACAAGGGTGATGATGATATTTCCAAGCATGTCTCTTCCTAAACTCCTTGCCCAATCCTGTCAGGAGTCACTATGGGGTCAGACCAGAGCAGTTAATTTCTTTGCATATCAAGAGATGGTTCACAATGTGCCATCTTGCCTTTTGGCTTGTCAAGGACTGCCTTCACTTGCAAGGAGAGACAAAACTGCCACTGAGGATCATCCTGGCCAGAGGGTGGAGTCTGGATGAAACTGGAACTTTGCTTTGTCTCCAGTACCTTCTGTTGCCTGCAAAGGTAAGTCATGGGCTTAGCTTGGAAATCCCAGACAGGAAGCTTGAGGATAAACCCAAGACTGCCTCTCTTTCTCAGCTGGAAGGGCAGAATTGGCTCTGATTTTTGTCATGATGCCTCTACASGCAGGCACAGCTCTGAGTGCTCAGCTGCTGGACTGCAGGAGCATGGGAGGCTGCAGCAGTGACTGGCAGTGATCCCTGGGGAGGGACAACTGGCACGTCTGAGCTCCCAAAGCACCTCCACATCCAGCCCAGCTGGTCCAGGGCCCTCCACCCACTGCTCTGCTGACACGCAAGAGGGTGGGGAGGCAAAGGATAGTTTCAGCAGAGAAGTCCTAAATGCTGCTTGGAGACACAGGAACAACTGGGAAAGCTAACCCTGAATCCTAGCCCAGCCCCAACCCTGGCCCCTGGATCTCAGCATTATCATGTAGCTCTGCAGGCAGCAAAGGGCAGATTTTTTTTGCATAAAGCATCTCTTTGGAGGGCATTTTCCCAGGTGGTACGCAGGGATACGGGGAAAGAGGGAAGGTCCAACTTGCTGTATGGAAGTGGTCACAGTATTTTCAAGATATATAAATCAGTGTCTCTGGAATTGTCTGGATACATGGAGACATGGGAAAAAAATACTACTAACAGACAGATACTTTTCCCTTTTTCCTTTTTCCACCCATTTTATTTATTTATTTTTTTTTTTTTTTAATTCTAGAATGCAGTTGAGCTGTTACCCAGCTTTCAGTGAGTTGTACTGGTGCCATGACTCCAGACTGGTTCTTCTGCATCTCAGAGCAGCTTCATTCCTTTAATCCTGCCTGCTCTCAGAAGTCTTTCAGTGATGTACTTTGCTGCACTAAATGAAGGACCTTGCTGCACTAGGTGAAGGGAAAAAGCACTACAGTTGTTTTCAAAAATCACCTGATTTCCTTGTTGCATTTATTATTGTCACTGATCTTTTTTATGTGGCTGTGGGGGCACCTGTGAAAGGTACTGTTGCACCATGGATTATTTCGCTTGTGCCCACTCTGCAGCAGGCAAGACTCAGGTGCTTTCTGCACCTTTTGTGCTTTTCATTTGTAATGCAGCATCAATAAAGCAAAGCACTCCTAACAACCTCCTGGCAGCTGATATCTTTCCCCCCTCCATTTTATTTATTTTCTAAAGAGAAGGTGACTCATAAACCACCCCGAGGCTGGGGTAGCCCAGCAATTCCACAGATCCCAGTGCAGGCAAAGGGGGAAGCCTGGTTTTCAAAGATGAATAGATCCCTTGTCCTAGGAGGGGTCTGTCATTGCCACCAAGGTGCCAGCAGTGGCTCTCCCCCCTGCCCGGTTGCTGAAAGATGCTCTGACTGTCAGCAGGCAGTGTGCAGTGGCAGACATGACTTCAACCTGCTGGAAAGGCACAAGTCCTCAAGGAATCTTGGCCTGCTTTGCTGCTGCRCTCCCAGCTGTGCTCAACCCAAGGAATGCACTTGCTCATTAAAATCATGTCAGAGTTTGCAGACAGCCCTGCGAGAGCCTCTTTGCCTGCCTTCCTCTTGTACCTGCCAACAGCAGACTGAAAGCTGAGGCTTCCAACCTGCCAGGTTCTGGCTCAGGGACCAGCAATAGCCTGAAGGCAGGAAATTTCTGAACTAGGGTGTTTTTTGACTTGGGCAGCAWGGGAGGTCAAACTTGACAGTGCAAAATGGGCTGCTCTGGTCTTCATCTGGCTGCTTGCAGCTCTGGGTTTGGGTTTCCAGGACAGGCACAGCATGCAGAGRTGATCAGAGGAGATACCCATGGTAGAATATCCGTGTGTGTTCTGCAAAGGGCTGCATGACACACAGCACAGACCAGAAAGTAATAAGCATGTCACAGTTTTGGGTGGAAAAAAGACACTATCCAAATTCCTGAATAACTCATAGGTAGAGCAGCAGAGACAAGTACAGAACTTGCACCCTGTCACCAGCAATAAAATACATGTTTCACTTTTCAAAACTATTTGAAAWAATTCAGCTTGCGCTGACTTTTCAATGCTCTCATCTTTTTCTTGAACATGCTTTTGCTTCTTTGCTGGCCAGCTTTAGAAACAGCATARCTCACTACTGTAAGCCTGTGAGGTGAAATGATACCAACGATTACAATGTAAAACAATGTATTTGTATGCTTTTCCATGGGAGAAATACTGGCACAGTCTCTTTGCCTCCCTGTCCTCCCACCAGCCTGTTTAAATGAAGGTCGTGCTCCTTGTACACAAGACCACATCCTTCAGATGTGTCAGACTTGAAAGAAACTGATTTAGAAAAGCAGTCAAGAGCCAGGGAGCTTGTTACAAAGCTTGTCATTGSAAACAATTCTTATAAATAAATTATTTATTAATAGACATCTTCCCCCAATGCATCCAAGTTTCTTGTGTCATTGCTTCTACTGTCAGGTCAATGGTGATTTATCACTTTTAGTGGCTAGAAACCACATCCTAAATACCAGGTGAAGCCACCTATGAYCATACCTATTCCAGTGGCAACCCTGGCTTTTGTCTTCTCTCCCTGGATGGAGGAACCAGCTCCTTCATTTCACCAAGGTGACAGCATTTGGGCACAATTTGCTTAAGCTCTGTGTGGGGAACAGACAGACCTACGGTGTTTACCGCTCCAGCTCCTAGGACAGATTTATCCCCATTATTCCGCCTCTCTAAAAAAAAATTCACCAGGAACAGGAATTGTGGATACTTGATTGTCCTGTCTCAAGCCAGAAGGGCACACTGATAATGGTAATCTTTGTTTTCTTTGCAGCTGGGGCATAGCTGAAAAGGGAGGAAGGCAATTAAGAGAATTTTAAGACTTCATCTTCCAAGATGTTGTTGCTTCTGTTCCTCCTCCCTCTCCCCTCTGTTCCCCGTGCGTAGCACAGAAAGCGGCAGGAGTATTATTTCTCAAGGCCCACACTGACGTCAATACGCAGGGTATTTATTTATGAAATCGAATCAAACAGTGGGGGAGAGAGGAGTGGAGGAAGATGGACGTGCAGAGAGAGCAGCTGCCAAGTTATAAYAGAGCAGCAGTCTCTCAGTATTTTTCTATCCTCTTTCTGGGGGAGGGATGTGATGATCAGAGCTTTGGAGGCTCAGGGAAAGCAAGGCAAAAGAGAGAAACAGTCGAGACAGGCTTAGCATTGAGAGCAGAGGAAAGGTGTGACAAGGAGGAATCATTCCGAGGTAAACAGCCCATTTCTGGTGCTGGGAAGTCCAGGTGCAGTCCTTATGCAGATGCTTTCAGGTGGCCTCTGACTGGGCTCTGAACAGCCTCTAGCATCTGTTCCTCTCAGCCTTTTTTAGTCTTTACACAGAAAATTCAGAGAGAGTTTCCAACCTTATAAATAATGATGCCCCATCCTCGTTCCCTGCTTCAGACTCAGCCAGCAAAATGGCTGTTTGGGAGCCCTGCACTGAAGTTAACTTGAAGGTTAACTTTTTTTCCTGCAGTCAGTGAGAAACAGTTTTCCAGAGTATAAATTTCATCCACCAATATTTCCATGTGCAGAAGCACAGAAAGATGAAAGGGACAGTAGTTTATGTTTTTTTTCCTCAGGAGGATGCAGGCACCAGGGCAAAGCAACTGCGATATGAAGGAAAGCAGAAGCCTAAGGAGCACAAGTGACCATGACAACGTGATGCTTTCAGCTTCAGCTCTGGCAATCACTGGGAGAAGATGCCTTTGGGTATTTC